GTCACAAACGGTTGTCGATAGGGTGGGCGGACTCGCAGGAATGCAAAACTTCGCGACGACAAACCGAAGTCTTCTCCTGGAATTCCAACACTGGGGAATGGAGGATGAATTATGGAAAAAAAACAGTTTATGGTTGCCGGGTCGGACGCCAGGGCCACTGTAATTGTAAGACAACACCGGGTCGAATATACGACAGGATGACCAAAGGGACAGGCTTGATTAATGGCCGCACGCATCTGGACACGGGTCTGCTGGTCAGTCAGGCCAGGTGAGGCAAGAGTTCTTCAGTTGTAAATCACTGGAGGCAGGGATCGAGGTGTGTTACCATCAGGGTCTTCACTTCAGCTGTGATGAGCAAACAAAAGGTTAACGTGGAACACAAGGGAAAACTGACTGCTAATGCCAATGATGACCGTTTTCTGAAATTAATCGATTAAATCAATCGAATGATATTACAAGGCAGGACATAAGAACTTAGCCTGGGTTCCAAACTCAATCACACTGGACACAAAGTATCTCAGTGAGCCTTACTGAGATACTTTGTGTCCAGTGTGCTATGGGTTTGGAACCCAGGCTAATAAGAACTTTATCAGTCCACATAATATATTGCGTCAAATCAGGAACAAAAATCTCGCATAATTTTTGTGACCTTTCATGGAAGAAGTTAAATACAATGTACAAAAGAACTTTGTAGGTTACTGATAATGATGGCCGTTTTCTGAAATTAATCGATTATCAATGGATTGATGTTGCTATCAGGGCACAAGTCCTGTAACAGACGACGTAAAATATTCCGTCAAAATAGAAAAACAAAACCACACATGATTTTTGTTGTGACGTTTCAGAGAAGAAGTTGATACAAAGAAAAGCTAATGATGGCCGCTTTCTGAAATTATCAATGATCATCAATCCGTTAATATATCAAGGCAAGTTCTCAAACAGTCCACATGAAATATTCCATCAAAACAGAAACATAAAACCACACATAATTTTCCTGACCTTCCACCGTCCCAAACGCCCGTCAATCCGTCGTCGCCTCGCCACGTCTGGTCATTTCAAAATTTTTCCCCTGCCATTTTTTTCTGGTAACTTAAGCCGGGTCAGCGACCTTTCCTCGTCAGGAAAACATCCCTATTAAAAGTGAGAGTGATTGATGGTATCCCTTATGGTAAACAGGTTGTCTGCCGGAGACAACGTCTGTCCTGTAGACCAGGATTTGGGTGGTTAGCTCAGCTGAAATAATTACCCGTCCTCCTGGCCAGACGACATTGTCCAGACGAAAGGGTCACGACAGCTGCGAAGATGGGCGCGATATATTATCCACACCTCGAGGTCAGCAGGTATAATTCCTCATTTTTGGGGGGCAAAAAGCAATCAATCAATCATAGTAGGTTAGTAACAGGTAACAAAACACGAAAACAGCACAGAACACATGAAAACCACACAGAGAGGCAAATACAAGAACATGTGACAGATCAGGCTGGGGGGGGGGGTCAAGGGATACTAAGGGACATTTATATATACATCTCTGAGAGTACAAACTAGAGGTAGTTATTCATGTTGCCAATATTTATCTTAGGCCGTGCTGGCCTTTCGTAAATGCTGCCAACTTGACCAAATTTTATTTTCATTAGAAACTTATAAAACTTAAAAGTTAAAAGGGGAGGAGAGATTCTCGTATATCAGTTTATTTGTCCGATTACAGATGGGATATGGACCTGTGATTTGTATTCTAACCTGCTTTTTGAGTTCAGATGTCCGAGGAGAGGTCAATATTAGACCCCAAACATCGGTACTCCGGTACGGGACAGTTGGTGATGTAAGGGGGAGGTGCTGTGTCTACTGCCTGACACGTGTTGACGGCCAGTCGGCGCACGATGGGGGTGGGCGAAACAACATGTGGGCACTTCGTACCTCACACATACACACCTTGTGCACACAGCACATCCCCCGATCGTAATACATTGTAGTCAGGTCATCTAAAAGTCTTAGTGTATGGCTTTGATGTAGTACGTTGTGATACTGGAAAACAAACAAACAAACAAACAAACAAACAAACAAACAAACAATAAGACAGACAGACATCTGCAGACGGACAGACAGACAAAAACACTGTCTGTGCTACAATATTTCTGAGTTCCCCTGACTGTTTCGTTCCCTAGCTCTTCTTTAAATACCCTTTCTGTTGTGCACAGTTGCTCTTCTTTTTATTTCCTTCTTTTCTGAATTAATTTTGTATTTTATCTATTCCCGCTTACAATATTTGTAAAATCGTGTAATAGTGTCCCTTTATTCTGGGTCTGCTGATTCCAATTTTCAGTCCGGTCTCCTCTCCGTGCCCCCACCCGGATATCAAAAGGCTGGCCATGCATGGTGGTCCACACGGCCGAGAAGAACCACATTCTTCCCCCTGGTTAAGCCTTCCGCGGATCAAGCCACCCGCCTGTTTCAGACACACTTTAAGGATTTACGTGCCCAATGATACGTCTTTTAACATCTGCCAACACCCTGTACAGGTCAGCGCGCAAATAAAACACGCAGTATCGCACACTGAGGCTCCCGCAATCTGGGGAAAAGTCTGCCAAACAGTTCGTCCGTGATCACGACATGGAAAAGTAGTAAGCTAAGAGGGTGGATAGATTTCAGTGATAGCATGAGGTGATCATATCATCATATCAGCGTCTGGTGTTAATAATGCTCATGATGAAGCCATTACGGGGGTAAATGGCTTGTTATTCTCGCAAAGTAGTCTGAAACTTCACAGAATGGGACAACACTTAGCGACTTGTCAGCGTTTGAGCCGACACAGCGGTTCAGTTGTGGGTGTATGTAGGGCACGATGTGCAGCTGTAACAGAACTGTTTAGCAAGGGAACGACCTCCGGGGAGGTGATATATGGGTATACGTACAGTTTTGTGGATAATTCTGTCTATAAGGCCCGAGACGGAAGGGTAGGGCCCAGTGGGAGGGGCGGCTTTGAAAAATAAATAGCACAGGGTGGGGCAAAGATCTGCACCTACTGACACGTTAGCAATATTAGGGATGATACTGTTGATTATTCTCATATGATATTAAATGGGAGGGAGTACTGAGAAGAGTTTCACACAGGTATGATGAGGGCACGGGGGGGGCAGGAGAAGGGTCGACGTCGTCCTTGTCTCTGTCTTGAGGAGGTCTAACCCTAACTCTTAAAGACAGGCAATCGGCTGGAGTGGGCAGCTGGGGCGGATCGGTCCATTCGGCCAGAAAATCTGCCATCACCTCTCGGGGTAGATAACAGAAGAATGCGCTGGAGTATGCGGGTTACGGCCATGTGAGCCCGCGCCTCGCTTCACTCCAACTCTGAGCACGTCTCAGATCTGCACCCCAAGGACGCACATTTGTGCTTCTTTCAACCTCGACAAGGTTTCCAACCTGCTAGCTTCAAGAACAAATTCTTCCCGTATTACACACTGTCCGAGAAAAAAAAATCGGTAACAGTTCGCGGTCAACATCGATCTCCGGCAGTAAGTAGGGTGTTATCGATACAAGCGGTTTTAAAAGGTTTGCCCGTACCTGGCAGATGGGAGGCAGCGAGGCGGGAGAAGTGTTTACAGACAGGGTATCTTGTCCGATTGAGCGTGCTGTGGATTAAGTGGAATCTCGGGTTGGGGAGAGGTAACTTTTCAGAAGCAGCCCTCTGAAACAAATGGGTGAAGTTTTTTTTTCGCCGCAGAAACCGTGAGTTTAGACACTGCAGACTAGCAGGTCAAAAACGTCAGAGGGAAGAAGTGACGCGGAATGTATACATAGAGAACGCCTGGGACTATCGTTCACCTGTGTAAAGAACTTGCACTCAAAGGGGCGCGGAAAAAAGGACGGCCCGTGTCACTTAATGCTCAATTTGGCTCCCCAGAGTGGCGAAGGGCACGTCCGTCGATGGGAAAGCTTTCATATCAAAGAGCCATTAGTCGTCGACAATTGGGACAATGGTTTACTTTCGCTGACAATCTGTTTGGCTAGTGAGTCCATTCGGGCATTCATTGCACGAACTTTGCCACCATCGCAGCGTATAAATACCCGCTTCGGGGGCAAAACTATATCCCCAGAACGCCACCAGAAATCGGTTTAATTACATTGCAGAACCCCAGTGTCATGCCTGCCAAAATCCTTCCCGTGGCGGCTCCCAGAAACAGGCTTTTAACGATGTTTAATGATGGGCCCAAATTACCGGGCTTTAATCGAGTGTCAATCAGTTTATCGCCCGCGCCTCGGCGGTTGCCTCGTTGGGTTGGCTCGCTATTGGCCAATTACAAATATAAATACAATTAATATTAGGACTGTTGACTGCAGAGCAAGCAATGCCGGCCCGCTAATCAGCAAGGAGCAATCTGTAGCCCAGGATGTGACGGGGGATACCAGAAATGCGGCGGTAGAGAGAAAAGCGGAATGTTGGGGGACGTGACATGCACCGGCCACAATTAAGTTGTCAAGGTCGGATAGGGCTATAGGGTGATGACGGGAACGGTGTATTTAAAAGAGCCAGCGATGAAATCTGTCCGTGCTACAGAGGCAGCTAATACGGTTGCCCGTGAAAAGAGGTTTAAAGAAATGCGTCTAAACGTTTGGTACAATTTAGGACGGTAAAATGAAGCATCACAGGAGGTTTGCAATCGACCACGGTAATAACAGTGGAGCCTGAAGAGGAAACGAACTATTACAGACCAATTTGGCGGCCTCCCGCTGCCGGCTATCGGGCCGTACGTGGTCTCTAAATGCACCGTTCTCAAAACATCGCTCTTTCCGCGGGACGCGTTGTTTGATCAGGACTGTTCATTGCCCAAATTTCTCCTTAATCACGTACGTTATAGTGAATGTTGTTTGAACGCGACTTACGACAAACATGTGGACTGTATTATACAGATAACGTCTGTTTATCCGGTCCCTACATATCAGTACCCATGATGCTCCGCGGCACGAAAAAGTAACATCGCCGGAGCTTTTCCCCGCCACTTCAGCCCGGTGTGTGGAAATCAAAGGCCTGGTGACTGAGTGATTTCAAATGGTTTGAAATCTATCATGAGGGGTTCATTAGGTAGCGCAGCTGGCCGATCAATTGAGGCGACCTACCTAGCCGAACACTTTGTTTAATGTTACCGTTGTACTGCCCAGCGTGGAGTAGGAGGAGGGGGACGACATCCGCGGCAATCAATTAATTGCGAGCGGTTCTGGGTTAATTGGGCTCGTTAGAAATCGGTTTAAGTGGTTTTAAATCGATGAGCTGATAGCGGAGAGAAGGCTAGGGGGGAGAACGCCCGATGACGTGTCGTGTTTTCTCTCCTGTCTACCTCTCTATTCACCCGTCACGAGTCGGTTAGAACAGACCTGTGCTGCGGTCCGGGGTCCAGCCCGGCCCGGCTGTACGTGTGCGTGTTTTCAATTGAGGACAAGGGTGCTGGAAATATCCATTTCTGTGGCATTTCTGGCAGGGGCGAAACCCGAGCTTTTGATTGACAGCTAATGATTTAGCTGTAGCGGGAGTGGATCGCCCTGGAGGTTCCTTTTGTCTTTATTGTCCATTGTGTCCAGACCAGAGGAGTGTGGTAGATAAGACTGTCCACTTTCTTCGACCATCCCGAGTCCCGAACCTCGCTCCGCTTTCTGCCTCATATGCCCGTGTCAACAAAGCCCCTTTAATTACCCTTATCAGCGTCCACAATCGCTGTATTGATTTGTTTAGTGTGTCAAATAATTCGGCTCAATTGTGCAGCGTTTCTGGAACGAGGTGCCAACTGATTGGGAGTAATTGCGGCAGTTGTGCCATTGGCTCTCCGCCACCGGTCGGAGCAGGACGGCGCGCTAGTTCAGTCCTGACTACGGGCGCGGGTCGCAGGTGGTCCCGAGGATGGCGATGCAGCAGGAGGCACGAGCGGCGTGCACCGTGGGCAGGCCGATCGCGCTCTACACCACGCCGCCCATATGGCACCAGCACATCTACCATCCAACGTCCAAACAACCGACCCGCCACTTCATCGCCGACATCTTAGGATTACGTCCCGATAAAGATGACAGGCCACGGTCGCCCTGCCTGCTCGGTCCTGAACTCCAGCACGCCAAGGCCGTAGACTCGGCCAGGTCACCGAAAGGGAACGCGAGGACCTCCGTGGGCGCTGCGGGCTCGACGCGAGAAGATTCCGACTCCGAGGCGCGGTCGTCGGACAGCGGCCGAGACCAGGACGAGTCCGGCCATGGTACGTTCTCCCCACGACTCTTCCTTACATACCCTAACTTTTCTTTTACCTCATATGTTACAGGCGTAAGAAACAATTTCCTTAAGAGATGGTGGTAAGATCTATGAATCTTAACGTACTACAAAACTTTTGGATAATTTAGTTCACTTTCCGTGGAAGGCTGTAAAGCTTGTAGTTTACTAGTACATGGCACCGTCTGGCCTTATGGATGTGTGCTGAGCATATTTGTTGATTCAACTTGCAGGCTTCTAAACGTTTCTGGGTCTAAATTGAGTTCAGTCCGCACATATTTATAGTGATGAACCCACATTTATGTCTGTATACAGAGAGTGGCGACAACAAGGTCCCCAACGGCACAAAAAGAAAATACGAAGATGGCGGCAAGAATTCCGAAAAGGACACAGACGGCACCCAAGAAGACAAGCCGAAGAAGAAGAAAGCGCGGACGACGTTCACAGGAAGACAGATTTTTGAGCTGGAGAAACAATTTGAAGTGAAGAAGTACTTGTCAGCGTCAGAGAGAGCAGACCTAGCGGCCCTACTGAATGTCACAGACACACAGGTACGAGAAGTTATTTGTTGTACTTCTAGTTTATTTTTGCAGGCGCGCTTATGCTTTGGTTTATAGAAGCTTGGCAAGGATAAGGCATAACGTATCGAGTACCCATCGTCAGTAAACTGTCCACGACAATATGGTTTCAATCTGTCCTAAGGTTAAAGACGTTAGTAGTGAACAGAGGACGACAGTGCTTGGTGGAATAATTATGGGGCACATGTACTGCCAACTGGCCGTGGTACGAGGGGAGGTCGGACGACCGAGCGGTACAGAAAGGACTGGGGTAGGTTTGAAGTTGGCAGAGCATAATCTGCACCATTTAGCAGACAAAGACCGGTCGTGCTTGCGGAAGGGTTTACTGATATTTGTGTTCTTGGCGGGTGGTGCCCATGCCTTTGCAGGTCAAGATCTGGTTCCAAAATCGCCGGACAAAATGGAAGAAACAGGACGGCATCTCCAACGCCGAGGCGGCGGAACACAAAATCGGCGGCAGTCGTCACATCGATACGGTGCGCCAACGCGAGCAGCAGCGATCCACCAAGGAGCTTCAGAACTGCGAGGCGCCTGTTGAAACTGAAACAACAACAGACTGCAATGACTCCAACAATAACAGCACAGAGCGGGCCGAGCACAGCGGGATGGAGACCGAGAATGCCGAGCCCGACCTGCGGCACGCCGCGGACCCAGAACCCGCCGAACCTCCCGCTGGCGCCGTGGCAGCAGAAGCCCTCGAACCTCCGCCTAACCAGGAGGCCGTGAAAAACGGTACTGTGAACGTTAAAGACGAATCTTCGCAAACGTGCGACACGGACTAGCCTAGCTGTAGCGTCAGGTGTTTGTGCAGATGTACAGGTGTTTATTTCACGAATTAAAAAAGCTGTCTATGGTAACAGTCGGATTTTGTCAGGGACAAAGCAGTTTTCCTCAACTGAGTGTCTGACATCGGAGAACGCATAGCAGATAACTGCCAGATGTTTATTAGAGTAGATATATAGTTATTATGTTCGTGTTTCTTGCTTGTTCTCGTTGTTTTTCGTTATCCTAGAGACTCGAAAAAGTACAAAGCGCTACTAGAGTTTATTGTGAGATTCAAACTGAGCCCGCGTGGGAAAATCTATTTGAACATTCCTGACTTGATTGTTGATCCGTTTAGAACGGGTGACAAATGTGAAAGAGAAATAAGATAAGAAGCGTAAAACCAGTCGCACTGGATACTGTACAAAATACGCCTAATCTACCATTGTAGGTTGTCTTTCTATCGTATCAAAGCTGTTTGTTTTGTTGTTGTAAAGAAGTTGTTTCTGGTTCGCTGTAGAAAAGTTTCACACAGAAGACTTGTTACCGAAACATCCACGGTGTCAGAGGTCATTTCGTTTTCTTTTCCATGTCATTCTGTCGTCTGCGTCGGTTCGCGGGGCCCAGACCCCAGACATTGCTGGCAATTGAACCGTGGCTCTTGCTAGTGGTTTGCCAAAACCTAATAGTCCGAGTAATTGTCCAATAACACAGGGCCATTACAGGTAGTTACTAAATTGCCCTTTCAATGATTTTCCTTCCAAGGAAAGTGGCAGAAATATCTATATCGCGGTCTTTGTGTGGGCACTGTAATCCGGGGAGTTAGATGCGCTGTTAGGATAGTGCATTTACGGGCTTAATGGACACAGAGGGTAGAAAGATTCACGCCTGATGTGCTTATGAGTACAAGTTGGGTGCACGCGTTTGTGAAATCGCTCACGGGTGTTAGTCGTGTGTAATCACATCACGAAACGCTTGTTCACACAGGACGCGGCGCCTTAAATACACATCCAAACCCTTTCATGGGGGAACTCAATTGGAAATTTTCGTCAGACGAATTCTACACACTAGTTAGGCTGTCAGAGGCACGCCACGGCTCATAGAAAGGTCATCAATAGCGAAGTGATCTCTTAATGGGCGAAACAGAGGGCTCGGGTAGTCATGGCGCCATTTTCTAAATCGACCGAAAGATCGTTTGTTTCAACAGTAGTGCAGGGTGTAAATTATTTGAGAAGCCGTCTGCCAGGGTTATGGCTGTCCATTATTGCTACAACACGCCCAGAGTCTCTCAACAAAACGATCTTTGACGAACAGCCTCAATAACGACACTTACAGGCCGTAGTGCTCAATCAGTCGTCTGACAAATTTGTCCGCCAAAACCGTTTGCTGAAGGGCATGCTGATTTTCATGGCCGGCTGACAGAGAAAAGATAGAACCCAAGCGTGCAAGGAACGGAAGCTCAATCCCGTACTTTTGAACGCCACCGTTTATTATTTCTTTCACCCGTGCTTGATGATAAACGACCCACACCCTCAGAGACAGACATATTGTGGACTTTTGTCTGTCACGAAGTCGTCTGAAATGCTCCATGTTGTTTACACCAAGGTTCGTCTTTACCACCAACCCATAAATGTACCGTGTAGACTGATGTACGACTGTAACCTTTTGCCTGTCCATAATATGAGAAAATTGCATAGTAAATCTATGTTGAGTCAACATTTTTGTCTTTCAACACTTGACTGTTGGAACTACTAATTTGGCGATTTTTGGCGGCAAGTTTCCTGCACACAGGACAAAATGAAGGCTCAGTGTGACCCACATTTCTGTCACGTAAATCCGTCTATTAAGGAGGCTCTTTACCTAAGGAAACTGTGTACGGTGCTAGCTGATAAACAAAGAATTTGAAAGATGGAGTTTTGACCCCAAGCGTTCGTGCTCGGCATGTGGGCGGACACACATAAACGGACAATTTATATCATTACTTGTTGACACAGAGTCTAGGGCTATAGGTAGTTGTATGTGTACTGTCCCTGTCAAATTCGTGTTAACTCGTGGTTGTGTACACCCCAGATGGGTGTAAATTAGCCATGATCGCCAAATATTTGCGGGACGAGAAGTGCGGGCCGCACGAGCTCGTCTCCCGGGGACCCACGAATTCCTGTCCGCCATGCGAGTGCGTGGACACGAACGGTTCCCTCAGTGTAAATGAATTGCTTTGTTTCTGCGCAAAAGGTGTGAAAACCACACGAAATGACCCTAAACTCAAACCTCAGGACAAAGTTTGCATCTAAATTCCTCTGCTCCATGAGTTTTTCGTAAAATACATTTCTTCTCACCGATGATCGTGCAATGAGGTTGCTAGTGTGTGAACTACTGTGCAAAAATTCAGTGCTGAGATATTGTAAGTAAACATCACACTTCAATATGCTCTAAGGATTGTGGATTAAGTCTGTCAGCCGATAATATGGAACAGCAACAGGGGCGTTTGTCTTGATACTGACTCTATTTTCTTTCATACCCATGCGAAAAGCCTCCCTAATCGTTCTAGGAAGTGCGCCTAATACCTCGCTAATAGGCATACAAAAAGGTGCTAATGCCTTTATGGTGTGTCCAGTCATAATAGGATTTGTAGTTCTCTCTCAATAGACCCGCTGGGGAGTATATAACGGAGATGGCCCGGCCCCTCCTCCTCCCCTCTTTGATGGTTTGGTAATGGTCGGTTGAGGGTCTGTGTGAGGGAACTTCCGTCCAGATTATTTCCTAGCGTGAAATCTGGAATTGTCTGAAACGTTTCCAGCTACAAACGGGGGCATTAGTTCTGTGCACATGGTGTGGAGTATAATCACAAAAGGCATACAAATTGCTAATAGAGCATTTCTTTCAAACGGTCTCGAAAAGGACGACAGCCTAATTTACCTAATACATGTATATTAGGTCCTTGTGATTGACCATTAGTTCCTCCCTAGATAGTTTTAATTCTCTAACTGTTCGATACAGCAAATCGTGCCACTCTAACTAAGGCAGAGTGGGTCACCAATAAAAATGTCTTTGCAAGTTTTAAACCAAGCAACAAAACCTGACGGGCGATCAACTTCTCGACGGTCAGACAGACCAACGCGTTGGCATCTGAACATGGTACTTCAATGCAGAAAAAACACCCTGGATAAACCATTAAAAACGGCTTAACTATACTTGTCTTTTGACTACGTGTTAAAACCCCGGATTCCCGGGTGTGCCCATGTCGTTGTGGTCTGTTTTTGGTTGGATACTTATCTTAAGAATCGATTCAATACTTTTTCATAGGTCACGTCTGCTATTGTTTATCCTAAGACAGGTTCGTGCAAATCCAAAGGTGTTAGGTTTGAACACGTACAAAGAGCTCCGAGGCTCAAGCACGTTTCCCTACAATTATTCACATGCGGGTAGGCACCCACAATTAGCTGTTAGACCTCGTTAATTGGGCGTCTCGGGGTGGTGGGGACCCTTCAGTAGACATAAGCTCTGTTTAGCTCAGGTTCTGGGCCTGTCCGAACATTCCCCCAACTTACAACACAAACCTGTACATAGGCCAAATAGCTTCGTTGTCTACGTACAAACATTGCCGTCATTCAGAAGGAGGATGTAACTGTGACCCCGTACCAGCTGTTTGCTCATGCAAAGAAGCTAGAATCCTTCTGCATTGCTTAGACACAAAGCGCCTCCCAGATCCGTTAATTGTACCTCTTTTACAATCAAAATAAGAACAAGCAATTTGTTTAAGTTACCAGCCCAGTTCCCCGCGAGCCAAGAGCTCTTCCTCTGTATACAGACCCGTTGCTTTCCTAAGCCCCCACGAATGCTTAAATTGTGCACAAGCGATCGGGTTCCTAAACATGGAAGAATACCGGGGATTAGCCCGCTTCCTGCGGTAAACTGCCGCTGTCCTAGGCCGCGATGGCATGCGACTGATAGACTGTGATAGGCAGGTTTACTTACTACGAGCTCGAACAATTAAAGATGGAGTTCCTTGCCCACCGCGGTAGTTTAATACACGTGCTGGCGGCAAATAGTAACAAACCTGCGGCCGGTTGTCGGGGTGAGGTTGGGAGGGGGTTATTTTGCTAAAGAATAGAGTTATGCTCGTAGATATCCTTCATCATGGTTTCCTCTGAATTTTTAAACAGATGACTTCAAGGATTTTATGATGACTTGAAAGGCAATCATCCGGTAATTTTGGAAACGCAAGCATCTGTCCGATATGAGGAAGGCTGGTATATAACGAGTTAGGTTAGCTTCAGCCTGGGTAGTTTGTGGGATCCTTCATCCGGGCTCTCTCTGTGTTTTGTTGGACAGATGGCTTTGACGACCGGAAGGCCCGATTTGCAGCGATCACATGCAACTGTGACATACATGTAATGTGTATTATTGAGAGTCTTATAAGAGCTTAGTTACCCCGTTTGTGGACACTAGCATTCCCAAAATGTGAGACTAACTTATAGTTTTGGTGGTGGATTTCTGTAGCAAATTCACCTTAATCACCCACACACTCCACTCAAAGATCACAAAAAGAAACCGTTTCTATTGGATGTTGGCCATGGACATATCCCCACAAGCAGACAGAAATAGGATGTCAATAGTCGATTTCTTGAAGAGATCTTGTTAAAATTTGGTCAGTCAAATCTTTTCTAACAGCATTAATCCTGAAATGTGAATATCACATGAACACGATATGATTTTGTGTCTGTCTATTAATCATCACTTGATAGAAGTAAGTAGATGGAGCGGTCATGCATGTGTGAAAGGATCTGCGACGGGTTGGAAAACGCAGCATTTATTTAACTTTTACTCAACACTTCCACCTACATGGCACTAAGCTGAATGATGGTCGTCTTCACAAAGGGAGTCAACGGCCCAGAGCCATAGCTAGGCGACATCGTCTATTTTGGAACGGTTTCCCTGTCAAACTCCGGGAGTCACCGGTGGAAAGCAGACGACAGAAATGAAACAGCTGCGGCCATCCACGTGCAGTGTCCGTACATTGAGGGCGCTAGCTGGAGCGATTTTCCCGCTCAAAGTCTGGTGTTTCTGCGTTTCTTCCCGCCAAAATAGTGGTGACCTGCAGCTGCCGTTTCGTAGGAATGTCGTTCACAGCTATCTGGTCACCAATTTGGAAATAGCCCCAAATCTGTAGAGAAACAAACACCATATGAAGACAGGATTGGCTTTGCTTTTATGCTGGAAGAAACACCTGCAAGGTATAGGTAGATATCCCACAGGACACCTAGGCTATTTTGCCAAAAATTTCGCTCAACTTGACACCCGCAAAGCATCATGTTGCGCGTTATTGAGGTACAGATTGCTTGCAGACGATGGAAGGATCAGTTGATAACGCTACTCGGAAAATGCACGCTGCTTTTTATAGTTTTTATGTGTGTTAAGTTGGCACGCAGTCACCGTCGTAAAATAACATTTGTGAGAACTCATAATCATGTCTACCATAACCACTTTGCCAGAAATCAATCAAGCCTTTTAACCAATATTTTGGCAACAAATCTCCAGCTCTAATTGTCTGTCAGTAATCGTTTTCCCCACAATGGGACGAAAACAATCTCACCGAGCCGCGGGAAGAGATTAGACTGATACACGGGAGTTCTCACGCATAGATGTGTCTTCTTGAGAGAAACCGCTGGACGACGTTTTTCAACACGGAATCAAAAGTCCGTGAACTGTAATAGGTTGTGTCTGACCTGCCCGGGGTTGGAATACGCCAGGTTTCAATGATATCTCACTCAGGACGCCGCACCGCAGTGTCCCTCCACAAGACGAGAGCGGTCGGCGGGTCTTCCCACATGGCAGCTATTACTATCCGCGGGAGAGCGCAAAGGAAACCCGGCCCTCATCACCGCTACACGTCCCGACCCCGCGCAACCTAAACAAAGGGG